GATAAACCAGGTTGACTTAGTGAGCATACTGATTTGTTTAGCTGCATTGGAACACTCTCATTCTCATTTGAGCTCAGTTTCATATTTAGTTTCTCTTTAAAAAGTAGCCCTGTTTGGGTTTTATGTAACACAACATGATGGTGAGTGGTATGGGGTGTGCGTGCCCAGCTCTTCCTCCATGTCACATCTTACAATTAACAAGGTCTGTTTTGCCACCTTTTCAGAATTTTTTCTATTACAATCCACTTGTGCAGTGTAACACAACTTTAGTCAAGGCAACTGGACATCTTTTTTTTTTTTCTTGTGAGCAATCCTCCATGGCAGCTGTTGGCTTTGCAGGCTGCTCGACGGCATCTCTAGCGTGGCAGGAGTTGGCTGTGGTCATGGTCAGGTTAAACACTGTGTTTGGCAGCATACTTTCTCATGGTAAATTAAAGCCAGGCTCTTCAGAGCTAGTCCTCAATCAGTATAATCTGTAAACAAAATACAAGTGAAAAATATCATGTTTCCTTGCTCTGTGTGATGTTGTGCTTTCTTTCTGTCTGGTCCTGATCCCCGCAAGTGAAAGCCTGTCATTCAGTGAAACAGAGAGAGATGATGATGCCTTGAGCACATGTGCTGCACTGGATCATGGTAGGTTGATTAGGTAGTGGTAACTGAAAATTAGCCCTAATTTTAGGAAGGTTTGCATTATTTACTAATAAAGATTTTTAGTCTGGTTTTAGGAAGAATTGGGGATAAAAATTCAAAGCCCCTCAGTATAGGGTAAGGATAATCTTGGTGAACTAACAGATAATCTAGGCTGCTGCTAGTATGGAGAAATCAGTGGTTAACATTTTCTGTACTCTGATGGTGATGAGGATTAGGTGTTGAAGATACCCTGGATGATTATGGGCTGAATTCAAAGACAAGGCAATGAGATTTCTGGCTTCTAAGCACAGGCTTAAGCAACAACTTAATGATTTCCCCCCTGCATGACCAGTCCTACAGAATTTTAGAATACTCTTGCAGTATTGAAAGTTTTACAGTCTATTACCAGCACAGCTCTATTCCAGTGGAGAAAATTGGAGTCAGAACTGACTCAAACATCTACCAAACTGTAAAAATTCCTGATGTGACTGAGAGAGAATCACATGTTGCCTCACCAGCGTGGTGTTGCTCTTGACTGGCTGTAACACGTCTGTGCTGTAGCTCTCAGTGCATGGAGTACCAGCAGACAGAAAACGGGCCTCTCGGGCAAACAGTTACAGAGCAGAATTCCTTGGCTCAAGAGCACTGAAGCCAAAAGTTTTTTGGCATTCTGACTGCATTCCTTTTCCAGTATGTGCTCAGAATAACTCGGGACTTTTTGGAGCAGAAGTGGGACAAATGTTTGAATGTAGACATAAAAGTCTAAGGCTCAGTTTAGCTCTTCAGCTGCAGCTTTGAAAATGCATTAGGCTTTGTTTAAAGTGCTGTATGTTAGTGGGTTATAATCCTTTTTTTCTGATTGAAATAATCCAAAAAGCCTGTCTTGCTTAAACAAAAGCAGATGCTATCGTTGTTTGTTCATTTTGAATGTTATGCTTGGATTGGGAGAGAAGAAAAGTTTCGGCACAAGTTGGTATTTGACATTTTTTGATCCTCATTGGTCACTTTGGTTTTGGTGTTGGTTTTGGCTTAGGAAAATGGGCCTTAATGAGAGCCACAGTTCAGTGGTATGCCTTAAATTTTAAAACAACTTTTCATTCAGTTCTGTGACTTAAAAGTATCTTTGTTTTGGGTTCCAGATGGGTTAAGTTGTGTGGTGTTGTGTTTGTTTGTTTTTGTAGTACAATAAAGGAAATTGCCAAAGTGACTTAGAAAAACTAGTAGTCTGCTAGATGCTCACCTATTGTCCATTGGTACACTACTCATGCATTTTCAAAACTGGGGGAGCTGACTGGTGCTTATTTTAGTATTCTCCTCAGGAGATGCCTCAGTTCCATTTGATGTGCTGAAGCTAACCCTGTGCACTCCATGGTGCTGAGGATCATCTCTGGGTTGAAGACAGGCAGTTACATCCTGATGATTTTTCCTTTGGTTACATGCCTAGTCTATATCAGGTGAGACCTCTGACAACGTGTGTCATAGTGCACCAGCTCTGGTGTCTGGTTTTGAGGTCAGAAGTGCTAAATAAAAGATGAGGAGTGAGGAGAGCTAATCCTGGCTGGCTCGTGTGAGCAAAACAGGCTGGAGACCCGCCGAGTGTGGCAGGTCCAGGGGCTGCTGAGAACCTCAGTGTGAACAGTCCTGGTGAGGGGCCTCAAGGTGGGATGGCTTTATGCTCTTAGGGTGTTGGACTTTGGTAAATGCCCACATTCCTCCTTTTTATAGTCAGGAGGTGGTAGCTTTGCCATGGAGGGTGTGTGAAGTGAAGCTGAGCTGGATGGGGACCTGCAGGCCTGTGCTGCACGGCAGCGTGACTCATGGGCTGCTGTTTAAGTGGCATTGTTGAAGTTGCCATGAAGACTGAAATCAGTTCTGAATTGAAGAACTGTTTGTACTTCAAAGTGTGAATTAGCCTGGGCAGTACAAAACATCTATTTTCCTTAGATGGGATGAAATGTCCTTTTCAATATCATTTTTAAAGGTGGATAAGATCTTGCACGTGGAAATAAAAAGGTAGATTAGTATAAATCTACAATGACAGAAATTACCTGCTGGAAAAGTCTCTTCCAGTGTAAACACAATGTAACTATGGTGGAAAATTCTGAAATATAGTGTTATCCAGAGGGATGGCATTGTGTTAAATATTAACATCCATAAAAGCATACAGCTGTTGGAATAGGCTGCAGAGTGAAGTCTTCCCTCATGTAAACATCTCGTGAGGTGGGAGCATGTGAATCCATACAGGAGTTGGAACCCTTGCAGCAGTTGTGTGCAGTAGAAAACTGTGGACTGAGTATGAAGCAGAATGCCCAGAGTAACCAGTCTGACTCCCATTTTATGCTGTATAGAATTTAGTCTCTTGGATACTGAGAAGTCACATTCCAGCTTTTGAGACAATCTAGTATCACTAACTGCTGCAAGTTTTACTCTACAAGTTGTCTCCTTTATCTTTGGAAAGTAATTTATGGCAGAAAGAAAACTTTTCTTTCAAATCTTCATCACTGACACTAATAAAGGTTTGAAGAAAAATGACTTTATATATTCTCCACAACAAGTCAATCAGCATAGTCAGCTCTGGTGGGCGGGATGCTTGTAGAAAAGAGGCCATAAGCTTGAGGCAGCATAAATCACTTCATGAATCCTCATGTCCTGGTATTTATCAACAGCTATTACAGGAGTCTTGGTCTTACCTGCAAAGGTGCCATGAGTTTTGTTTAGAAAATAAAATAGCTTTCTGAATTTAAAGACAATTTCACTGAAAATCTTGAATTCATCTTTGAAAATCCTGCTGTTAGAAAATCTTACTGCTGCTCTTCTTAACTTGCTGAGTCTTTCTTTGTTCTCCCTGCTGTGCCCCCGCCCCAGTGCATGGCTGGGAACTGGCAGGGAACTGAAGAAAAGCTGTTCCTTTGCCTGAGTGTCTGAATCTTTCACTAGTTCTGATCCTAAAGCTGAGTTCTCTTGTGATGATAGTGTTTTTGCTGGCTTTTCTTCTCTTCCCTGTTTCCCTGCCACTCTCAACTGCCCTTTTTTAAAACACTGGATCTCCACCAGTCAGTGCTCAGGCCCTTTGTCCAACCCCTGCACTTGTGCTTCTGAATACCCTGTTCTTAGTGCACATCACTTTCTCTGGGGTGTACAGCCAACATATCCTACAGTACATTTTAGAATGGCCTAGAGAACAGGTAATAGAAGTGATGAATGAATAGCCAAGTTCTGAGAACTTTACTGATGAGAATTGTTCGTGGAAGTACTGTAATAGGAACAAGCAAAATCTTTCAAAACTCATCTAATGTAAAGTGCATGTCCAGATAATCTGAAGTACCTGACAACTGAACCAGTTTCCTGTTCAGAGGGTTGAATTATGTAACACAGTTCAAGGTTTTGCATGTCTGATCCTAGCCCACTAAAAACTTGAATTTCCCAACTTGGCAACATGCACTTCATTGTCAGAGCAATCATGAGATGCATGCCATCACTGGGTGCCCTGGAGTGCCTCACTGCTGCTGTGCAATGGACCTTTGTTGTGGCAGGACAAAGACTTATTGATAAATTGCCTATAAAAAAGTGGCTTTGGAATATTAGTTTATTGTCAGTGAAGTCTCTATGTACTTAGTTATGTCTTTCCTTGCAACACCTGCAGTACAATGAAGACTCCTAGTTCCTGGTTGCAGTTGACTTGTGCTGCACAGTGTGAGTTGGAAGCAATAAACTAGAAGATGACTACAAATAGAGTTAGCTGTGCCTTGTAGGAGGAGGAAAAAAATAACAAAGGACAATATTGACACTGGAAAACTGCCATCAAAAGGTGGAGCTGCTGGGATGAATGTGATCAGCTGCCCTGTCTTGACTTCAGAGCAGTTGGATCATCTTCAGTGTGAAAGATAACTTGTTGTGTTGTCTGGAGTTTTGTTCTGTTACATTTTGTGAGCAGCTGTTAAGGGACATGACAAGTAAATAGGTTAGTTGACATAATAAATGTGCAAATTTCACTATAATAAAAGCCTTGTTATGTCTGCAGAAAAAAAAAAATCATTGGAAGGTGCAAGTACTAAAATAAAAAAAAAAAGGTCACTAGTCCCTGCATACCTGCCTGGTGCATGAAGTGTATTCAGATATTCTGAGGATGCTCATCTTTGTGCATTGTATGGAGAAACCATCAGGATAGCTGGACCTTGAGAGCAGAGGATTGTTCCTTCAAGACAATTCTAGGTTTGACCCGAAGCTTGTTAGGCCTCTGGGAGAGTTAGTGATGTGAAGTCTGTACAGGAATAGACCCTGTGATGTGTTACTGAGTCTGTCCTGATTTAAACATCTTCCAGTAGTTGTGAACATGTCGATGGCACAGTCCTACCTTCTAATTAATATTAATGATGGATTCTCTTCTGCAGGCTGGCAGTGATGGGGAGAGCATAGGCAACTGTCCCTTCTCACAGAGGCTCTTCATGATTCTTTGGCTGAAGGGAGTGGTGTTTAGTGTCACAACAGTCGACCTGAAGAGGTAAGAAATACTTGACTTGTCTGACAAGGGAGAGTACAGGACATTTGGTGTAACAAATGGTGGTTTGGGGATTCTAAGCCTTCTATGGCTTACTGTCTAAAATTAAAAAAAGTCTGCCCTCATAAGTGCTAAGAGGCAACCTTGATGTAAATGGTGCATTCATTGGTGCTTATTTATAAGTACTGGTAGCCAAAAAGAATGGATTGATAAATTCTCTTGAATTTGTGAAGTGCTGCTCTTCTGCTGTAAAACCAGTAGCTGAGACAAAGCCCATTGTAACTGAATACTGAATCTTCACATGGAGATCCCATGAGTGAAGACTGCTGGATGGGTATTTTAAGTCAAGCAATCTCTGATCAAATCTCCAGTGATTATTGGATAACTGTCACAAATAACGTGCTGCTCACTTCTGTTTTTCAAGATTTTAGGATAATGTTGCTTGTTATATAGTAAATATAAATCCAAGGTGAAAATATCTGTCCACAAGGTAAATATGAATGAAATAAAAGTGAAATGGGTATGAGTAAAGTCTAACTTATTCTACCTTTGTATAATGTTAGGCAGATACATTGTGATGCTGTGTGACACCTAAACTGTAGCTTCTCCATCTATGAAGTGAATACCTTAATGACTAGGAAGGGTGAGGTGTGAATCTAGCAGTCTCAATTTCCTAAGGTTGCATATACTTTTATTAGAATTGGCAATGCTAAATTCAGCAGGGGCCTTTTATTTGTTTTTGGTGTGAGGTAATGTTTTCACAGCACTAATGTAATGTAACATTAGTCACTGAGCTCTCTGGAGGAGGAGAGACTGCCTTCCAGACCTTATTTTCAGAAATAAAGCCAATAGAAATATGTTCTCCAACAAATCAAGTTTAGAACGTGTAAGGCAGAAGGCAGTAAGGCACTGCTAGACTTAACCTCCTCTTGTATTTTTTTTTAAGGAGGTGACTTGTTTTGGTTTTTAAAAATCACTGAAGTTGCTGCTTTAGTGCTAACAACTAGTGTTAAGTATTTCCATGTGTAGTAAGGCTGAGGCAGACCACTCAGAGGTAGAGAAAGCAGCTTTTGTCAGCTAGGTTTGCTTTTGTAGCAGCTCTAAGATCTTCTCTGGTCAGTGTGGTGTTTTACTGCAAATATATTTTACTGCCAGCACACATAAACCAAATCTGTCATATCTTCCAGTTAGCATTGCCTGTGGTTTGTGGAAACCTCAGGAGCCAGAACTGTGCTTGCCATGCTCTTTGGAGTTCTGGTCCTATTGTGGTTATTGGGACAGGGGGATGAGAAGAAGGTTGAAAGAGACATTTTATACTTGAGAGCATTTTCACTGCTGAACTTTTGAACCAGTCTGAGAGATATCATTAAAATACCAAAGATGCCTGATGAATTGGCTTTATTTGTGTGTCTTTGGCAACTTTGAGTTAATTGGGGGAACGTAAGGCTAACTTTTAGAATATAAATTGGTTGCAGATGTTGAAAAACTGGCCTTTCTTACACAAGGAAGGCTTTCTTTCAGGGTTTTTTTTTTCATTGGGGAGGAGAAAACGCAAAATAAGTGCAAAGTTTAAAAAAAGCCTGCATGGGAATAGATGAAATGAACTCACCTTTTCATTAAACACAGAATGTATTTTCTGGTAAAGGAGCACTGGAGCTAATTCAGATTTGAATAGGTGTTGCTGCAAACTTACTTCCTTTTAGACTTTATTGAAAGCTTCATAAATACACATTTAACCTTCTCATCTACTACCTAGCTGTAGAATAGTGTGGTTTGCAGAATGGCAGATTTGGCTAGCTGCTCAAGTGGAAATGTTTTATATCAGGTGATGTTTTTTCCCCTGTTACTCTGACCAGAATGATAAAAGGTGCTAGATGTTGCATTAATACTTCTAATACTACCACAAGAAACTACTTTTACAAATCAGTTACCCTCTCTTCTTTTTCTTCCTGTTAAAGACACAGATTAATTGAAGAGCAATGTAATAATGCTTTTAAGTATCTGAATTTATTTTGCTAGCCAAAAAGAAAGGGGGGTTACTTGCAAACCATGCTTCTGCTGCATAGCATCACTTCTGCACAACAGTAAGGCAGGCTCTGTCTCTTTGTGAGGCTTAAAAGGTCATAGCTGGGTACAAAAGTTCACAAGTAAGGAACTTGGGACACAGGAAAAACTGAGTCTGATCTGAGTGACTCTGGTGTGTATTTTTCCCTTCCATAATTGCACTGGACATCATACTGTGCTAACAAAAGAACATTTTGCAGCTCTCGGTTCTGCTCTTAAGGCACAAAAATAGTCACATAGGCAAACGAAGTGGGGTGTGCTGCCCTTTCAAAGAAATCAGGCATTTCTTCTGTTCAGTCAGACAGAGGCTTTATTCTTTCCCCTTTCAGAAGCAGCATTTCAGTGCTTGGGGGTTTGACTCGTTCTGGTGACTAGAGCAGAGCTGCAGCACATAAACCATTTGTGGGGCTTGTACCAACATTCAGGGCCAGCTTGCATTCAGTTCAGTTTTGGAATCTTATTTTAAACATTTTGATTGTGTGGTTTTACAATTAGGGAGACAGACAAAAGATTAAATAGATCAGTAAATAATATTAAAGGCTGTCCAGAGGTGAATGCAACTTCAGCAATATAAAATACTGCTGGCATTTTGTGTGTAACTCTTCAGACACTCATTGCAGTACCTGTGTAATTTATAAATCACTGGAGAGTATGGTACATTTGGGGGCTGGCCTTTGATCTTCAAGAAATTGTTTGAAGGCTAATTGCTATTCTGGTTTGTAGCCAAGCAATTAAATGTTTATACCTTAACTCTGATGTTAAAGAGCTTGCCCACTTAATTAGCCATTGATAGCCAGATATTTGTGTGTTTCCCCCCCTCCAAATACCCTGGTAAACTTTGGGACAGGTAGGTAGTTCTCATGCTATTGTTTTGAGTGGTTATAGAAGTTTTGTTTCAGAAAAAGCTGTCCAGTTTTATCTCTAAAGTAAACATCACTATAATATTTTTAATTGCATTCTTGTTTGCCCATTAAAAGAAGTTGTGTTCTTAGCCTTTTAAGGAGATTCCTGCATACTCGTGGTGCTCTAAAGGCTGTGGCTTGTTTGTGGTAAACCAGGGTTTGTTTATGATCTTCTGGCAAGGGGTAGCAAACTGGAAGTCAAACCCTGTATTTTGTTTGGGCTTTGGCTGTGGGATGTTAATCTCTGCTTGCTTTTTCTTGAAAGATCCAGGAGGTTGACTGGAGTGGGAAGAGGGGTTAATAAAATGCTCTGGGATCCTTGAGATGCACTCTGATTCTTTGGGAAAGCTTTTTTGGTTAGTTCATTAGACTAGTCTGCTTCTGAAATAAAATCTTTCCTTTGGTGGTGTTTCTGCAAATCCGGTGGTCTTGCCTGTGTTTGTTTTTAAAATAACATTCCTTTTGAGGAATTTTATCTAGCCAACATACAAAATTGGAAGTGAGCCACAAGGACTTCCTGTAATTGTTGTGGGTTACAAAGCTGTATTTAAATGAAGTGTTAAGCTACTTCAAACATTAACCGATTGACAGACTTCAGATCCTAAAAGTAAGAGGGCTATGGCAACTAGCAGTAAGAAATAACTTACTGGAAGCTTAAAAATTGAAAAATGGTTAAATTCTTGTATTGACAAGACTCCTGTCACCTGGCTCAAAGCAGGGGCTCTGATGTTCTGAAGTAAGAAAATCTGCTGGGTTTTACATAGACTGCCGAGTGCTGGGATGGGCTCTGGGCACACCTTGGCACTATATGCTGCTGGTGTCTGCCCTGCTTAAAAGGTTCAGTAGGGCAAAAGGACATGGAACCCCCCTGGCAGGGATTCTTAATTTTGTAAGAAATGAAAAGCAATGTTGTTGAGTTTGCAGAGTCTGGGTGCAGTCCCTAAACACACAGCTTTCTCGTGCTACCCTGCACACCCATTTTGGGTGTACTGCTGATCTAGTCCCTGTCCAGTCGTGCTGGGAGGCTATCCTCAAATGTAGTTCCAGTATCCAGTGAGTCAGCTCCTGGATGCCTGGAGCACTAGGAAATCCCAGTCTCAGAAACACAGTCATGTCAGACAAAGAACAAACCCAGTTCAAGGGTTACCTTTGAATTTGGATTTGTTCAAATAGTAACAAAGGGGCAAATTTTATCTTGGCAAACTTTCTGCTGGGCCAGGTGTTATTTGTTGTTCCTTGTTCAGCCTAACACTAGCAAGAGGTGGTGGTCATCCTGAAGTGTGTGCTCTGGTCAGCTTGACAGAAATGTCACTGTACAGCTGTGCCTCACCTGGGTCACCGTGGGTGCACAGGGGTGGTCTGGGGAGCTCCTCAGAGAGCTGTCCTCCTGGAGAGCAGGAATTGCAGAGAGGTTCTTGGAGAAGTCAGAGAGACTGTGTCCTTCCGAGCAGTCAGCCTGGACTGCAGTCAACAGCTTCATCAGAGAGGCTTTTCCAGTGCTGCTCCTGAAGAAGTGCCAAGCAGTACTGTAATTTTATTTCTGCTTGCACTGAGACGGTTGCACCAGCATGGGACTAACTAATACCAGGGTGATTTCCTGGGGAAAAATCAGCTGCAGCATTTGAGACGATGCTTTGGATTTTATAGCTTCTAATGGATCCAGAACTCATTATTGATTTCAACTTTGCATGTCAGTCTGCTGAGGAGGCAGCTGCCAGAGCTTTACACGGAAGAGTGAGGCAGCACTGGGGTGAGTGAGGGAGGTGCATGTGTGCAGCTGACATACAGGCTTCCAAATAAATGACTGCGGTGTTGTTCCTTGTCATTACAGCATCAGGGCACAGCTCGAGCAGGGAGAAGCCAATTGCTTATAAAATAGACTGGCTCAGCTTGAGAAGTGTTAGAGTGAGAGCAGCTGGAGGGAGCGGCGAGAGGCATCCCCAGAACAGACTTGGGGTCTAGAAATGTCTGAGTGCTTCAGCTCGATGCTGTTGCTCTTGTGTCTGGTCACACTATTGTGTGGGATTCTACTCCCTTTGCCCAAATGTGCTTCTCTCTTTGTAAATGTTTTTTTTTAATTGAAGGAATTTTTTAGCATAATTTTTAAATGGGATGTTTAAGTGCCTGTCAGCTTGTCTACAACCAGATTGTGCACAGAATAAATGGTTTATACATACTGCTCTGTATCAGATGTATTTATTTCCAGAGGAGCTCTGTGTAAAGGGGGAGGATTATGGCTGATCACAGATTATGCTATAAATAAACTCTGTGTTGCAGATCTTGGGAAAGAGAGAGTGTGTTTGTGTGGCGTATAGATGCCCCCTGCTAGTCAACATTACATCAGCTTCAGAAAAAACAGAGCCAGAGGTAGGCAAAAGCAGTTGGTGTTAAGTATTTGAAAATAATTCTCAAGTACATACTCACAAACAGAATATATATTCAAACAGAAAGCTGCTGATACTTTTTAAAGGCTGTAAGGATATGAAAACCTCAGGCAGTGCTTTTGTGACTGTAGCAATGAAAGCTAGGGTCATGGGTGTCCCTTGCTTACTTCTGTATTGGTTTGTATTTCACCCCAGAAAACCAGCAGACCTTCAAAATTTGGCTCCAGGCACTCACCCGCCCTTCATAACTTACAATGGTGAAGTGAGAACAGACGTGAATAAGATTGAAGAGTTCCTGGAAGATGTTTTGGCTCCACCCAAGTAAGTGTTAAAATGATAATCTGTCACCTTAGATTAGATGGAGTGTTCTCAGAGGGGTTTTCTGCACTAATTAAGATGTTCTTCAGCATCAATAAACTGAAGACAGTGAAAATAGCTTAGAGTTCTTGCCTGTCATACAATTCCTTCTTCCAGCTCCCAAATCTTTACACTAAAACCCGTTATCTTCTACAAATTGTCCTTTGTCAAGTCTTGTCATGCAGTTCAGACCTTCCTGCAGTTCTCAAAGTGAATGACTTGTTGATGCCTGGGGCAGGCTATGCTGATGATGTGTCCAAATAATGTAAATGAAGATGGGCTTCCTATAACCAGTCCTACCACCTGCAGACTGCTGTGGGAATCTTTTAAGGGGATGTGCTAGTTATTGTATAATGACCATTATTCTGCTAAATGGGCTGTAAATCTATTACTTTCTACTTTTTAGGTACCTAAAACTTTCACCAAAGCATCCAGAATCCAACACTGCTGGAATGGATATATTTGCCAAATTTTCTGCATTTATCAAAAACTCTAGACCAGAAGCTAATGAAGGTGGGTGATGTGGAGCTGGTAGCTGTGCACACGTGTCATTGGCTGGGGTTTTCCAGAGCAGTGAAGTATCTCACTGGCAAATTGTGTTGCTTGTGGATGGACACTCAGAGGGAGTCCCATGAATTAAACTTGTGATCTAAAGTTGATGGTCGCACACAAAGATTTTTCAACATTTCAAAGAGAACTTCAATTAGTTCAATTAGTGTTCCATCGTGATGTGGGGCTGGTAGCTGTGCACACTTGTCATTGCCTGGGGTTTTCCAGAGCAGTGAAGTATCTCACTGGCAATTTTATTGGTTGTGGATGGACACTCAGAGGGAGTCCCATGAATTAAACTTGTGATCTAAAAAAGTTGATGGTCGCAGACAAAGATTTTTCAACTTTTCAAAGAGAACTTCAATTAGTTCAATTAGTGTTCCATCAGAATTTTGGTAGGGTATGAATGGTTTGTAAATATTCCTGGCGTGGAATCTTCTCTACATGACAGCCACTCACAACTTTTGAACTTAAGTAGAAATGATTTTAACATCCAGAACCAGATTCCCCGCAGAGTTTGTGTGGTGCCCCAGCAGTTGAGTTTCCATGTGTTTGCTGCAGGGTCTTTCTGCACACTTGATTTGACTTCTCTGGGGTTGAAGGCTCCTATTCAGTTCTGAGTTAAGCTTAGCTCTGTTGCTTTCTTTAAAGGATTAAGACTTTTTTTGTGTGAGGAGACCTTAGTAAATGGAAGGTGAGAGATCAGCAAGAGAAAAAGAATGCACAAATGTTTTGTCATCGATGTGCTTGGGGGGAAAAACTTAATTCAGGATGACTTAGCTGCCATCAGAATGCTTTGTTTCAAATGCAGAGGTGCAAAATACTTGTCAAAGGCCAACAATACTTTTGGATTTGGTGGGGTGTGCTGCCCTCTGCTGCTCTATTCCCAGGTCTCCTCGGCAGGCTGTGGGTTTGCTCGTGGCTGTTAGCTGAGCATGTGACATTAAACAGATTATGTTTAGATGAATATAAACCTTAGCATAGCTTAATTCTAATTCGTTAAAGCCAGTTAGGAATAGTCTTAAGAAACTGACATAAGCCACTTTTTAAACCAAAAATAAACACATGTGGACAGTCTTAGAGTATTCTAAATTAGTGCAAACTCATTTATAAACCAGCTTTGAAATAACCTGCATCTGTGTGATATTTAAAGTGATTCTAGTTCAGTTTGTGTTACTAGTGACCATCAAGGCAGCTCTGGCAGTAGTGTGGCCACAAAAATTGTCCAGGGGTTAAAAATCCTTCAGTATATGGTCAGTTCTGTGCAGTACAGTGATGTAGATTTTGTTTTCAATATTCAAAATTATAATTTGCTTTGAAACTTGTGTGCTCTGGTTTGGCTCCCTGGTTTGTTCTGAAAACTGTTCCTTCCTCTGTAGCCTTAGAACGTGGCCTCTTGAAAACCCTCCAGAAACTGGACGAGTATCTGAACTCTCCTCTTCCTGATGAGATAGATGAGAACAGCATGGAGGATATCACGATTTCCACCCGCAAGTTTCTGGATGGCAATGAGATGACATTAGCAGACTGCAACCTGCTACCCAAACTACACATTGTGAAGGTAAATGCCTTGTGTGTCCTCATGTGATAATGGAGGACAAAATCTGTATGCTTTATGACATTCTGGAGTTCAGCTAATTTCAGCCATTTTTAAGCTCTCATGTAAATTGAACTACAGGATAAACAGTACATGAAATTGCATAAGATTTGGGTTATAAATGGGGACAGTCTTTTTAGCAGGGCCTGTTGTGACAGGACAAGGGGTGATAGTTTTAAACTTGAAGAAGGAGATTTAGACTAGAGAAAAGGAAGAAATATTTCACAATGAGGGTGCTGAGCCCCTGGCCCAGGCTGCCCAGAGAGGTGGTCACTGCCCCATCCCTGGAACCATCCCAGGGGAGGTTGGCCGGGGCTCTGAGCACCCTGCTCTAGCTGCAGATGTCCCTGCTCCCTGCAGGGGGGTTGGACCAGATGACCTTGAAAGATCCCTTCCAACCTGAACTGTTCTGTGATTCTGTGATTTAATTCACAAGGACTTTAGAGTCAGAGCAGTTGAATTCAGTGAAGGTGTTAACCAGTAGAGGGGTTGGGCAGTGAATGACAGAATGGTTCAAGCCCGTTTTACTGCATTGATCAGTGTTCACAGGAAGCTGCAGTGCCTCAAAGAATGAGGTAGGAGAACAGAGGTGAATCGTGTGCCCAGCTGATGTTTGGAGTGGATGTCTTCTCCCATCTGTAGAGAAATTGGCTCTGTTAGCAACAAAGTAAACAACACAGTGTGAAATACAAGGATTGTGTTATAAAAAAAAGGAGAAAAAAGTTGTCAGTTAGGAAGAGATGTGGCTTAGAATAATGACAGGGGTGACAATGTGCCTCTAATTGTGGTTTGGGTTCTTCTGCTTGTCTCCAGTGGTCTGTGTCAGTTTTGTACTGCAGATGGAGCCACAGATTAAGTTTCTGCCTGGGTGCAGAGGCACTTACCCTGGTGAGGACAGTGTGCTGCCAGGCCCAGGCACATCCCAGAGGGGCAGGTTCTCCTGACTGCAGCAGTGGTTTTGAGAGTACGTGTTGGCAGGATTGTTTACCAGAGGGTGACAGGGGACAGAAAAGCAGCTTAAGCTAAAGGATTGAAATTCTTACTCTAATTCTTCTGTTCTAGGTGGTGGCCAAAAAATACCGCAACTTTGAGATTCCCAAGGAAATGACAGGGATTTGGAGATACCTGACGAATGCTTACAGCAGGGATGAATTCACCAACACCTGTCCTGGAGACAAAGAAATTGAAATAGCCTACAGTGATGTAGCCAAGAGACTCACCAAGTAAAGGGCACTTGCAAAAGAGATGACTTCTTGCATATTCCATAACAACGCTTCTAACAGACTGCTCTTTTCATATAAGATAGCAATTTTTTTTGCATGAACTTGCAGTTATTCAAAGTTATGGTGGATAGACCAGGTACAGTAATTACCTAAAGTTTGCAGACTTAATTATAGGCTTGTTTTTCCTTACCTCCTCTCACAGCAAGTTTGAATATCATTAATGCAGTATGTTAATATTGCACTGGGGTAACTCCTGATTCTTCACTATGAAGGGTTGTCTTGCCCCTGACACTTTCTTTTGCAAACATTCAGTCCCTGTCTATGAATTGGTTTAGGATACTGTCTTGCTCTATGGTACAAGGAATATTTATGTATTTTGGAATTTATTGCTTTTCCAGAAGATCTCGGATCTCTACACAGTTGTTGTATCTGTGACACTGAACTGTACCTGCTCGTCTATCCTATTTACAGATAGAAGGGAACTTATTATCCAAAAGAGCCATTTGCAGAATATTTGGCAATGTTTTTAAAAAGCATTTCTCTTGGATTTGAAATCGCAGTAATGGTTGAGCATGGACTCAAATGTCAAACTTGGATTTGAATGACCTTGGATGTCAGGGAAGTTTGAGTCTAGGCTTGAGCACTGTAGCAGGAAGCTGGCAGTTCACACTTAGCATTTGGTCGTGTCTTCAAGAGCTTGAGGAGGTGAAAAAAATTATATATGTATTTTTTTAATTGGCAGTCTACATTTGTCCTGAATTCTGAGTTGCTACAAAACCCAAATAGTTGTCAGGATGTCCTTTTACTGTCATGAAACCAGAAGAATTGAATGCTTGCTATCTGTTCACCTTAAAAATTGCAAGTGGCTTTCTTTTTGGTAGTTAAGAGCCTTTACTTTTTGTATAGGTCTTTCTGGTGATATTTACTGACAAAATCTGTGCTGTTGTAAACCAAGTACGTGTAAACATTAGTGTCCTAGTTGATAAACAGCTACTGTATGCAGGGCATAGCAGTGCAATGATTGGTGATGCAAGGCAGAACACTGAGAGCTGTTAGAGGGAGTCTTTCTGGGAACTTTTTCAAGCTGTCTCGTTCCTGAAGAAAGCTAAAGTGACCTTTAAAGATAACATTTGCCTTAAATCATAGTATGCTTTTTTTTTTCCCTGAAAGGAAATGTATGAATTACTCTCATAAAGAAATGGTGTGTGAAATCCAGACCTTTACATCTGAATTTGTCCTAATTGCTCATCTGTGGACCCAGACTGCAGTTTTGCATAATCATAATCATTGCACTACTATACAGAATCTTTTTACAGCAACGCTGAGGAATAGCACTACAATTTTTTTAAAAGCAATTTTCAAATGTTTCTAAAGCCAGGGAATAGTTTTCTTGTTTAAAAATAATGGTTTTGATGCACAAAATAAACTGCTAGGTTATTTTTAAAAGACCATCATAAACAACTCCAAAGAATGCTAGACTTATATGCCTATTTTTTTGTAAAGATACTTTTATATTTAACTGATTTTAGAAGCTGGAAAGTGCTATTCCTAGTAGGTTGTTCTTGGAATATTTAACATTCTGCAATAACATGGAAGTGCTCACATAAACACTTTTATACACTAATTTTTTTGGTAAGCACTGGCTTTGTGGAAAACAGCCTGACTTTTCTAAGCATCCTGCTTTTGCTACTTTATATACCCCTGAAGTTAGTCTGACATAGAAGAGGTAGAGTACAAGATCCATATTTGTATACATGGCTTATGGTGCCTTGTCTTGCCTTCCTAGAGCTAGAATTCCAATATTAAGGCAGTTAGCAATCCTGTTACATGTCTTGTGAAGACAACCATAGATACACCTAGACCCTATTTTATGACTTATTACAGGGATATTTAGCCACAGAAAGAAAATTCTGCAGAGCAACTTGGTTAGGAAAAACTGAACTGTAGCCTTTTAATAATTACTGTATTCTAATGTCACGTTCTTATCCCAAATAAAGTTCCTCAGCCATGTTAATCCTCTGTAGGGGTTCAGTCTTTGCTACAACGTGACATCTAGTGAAAGGATTGAGTTCCTTTTTTGTTAATGTTTTTAATGATGTATAGGGTAAATAAACCCCCAACTTTCACTGGTTTGGGGCTCTTTGCCATCGTATAGTTAATCTTTAAAAACAAAATATAGGGAGTAATGTGATTGTGGGCATACCTTTGGTAATTATTTTTAACTCTACTTTAAAACTTAGATCAGGATGACCCTTGGAAGCTGTCTGAGGTTGTAGAAATCGGGCCTCACTCCTTTAAAAAGCAAATCAGCCCTTGTGTGCACACTGCAGCACAGGTTGTGTGCGTGTGGGCACGAAAGCCCTTCCACACAGCTGCCTGCTGTGCAGGTCCATGCACACCAGCCCCTCCCTGGGCAGAACACCAGCCCTGTGGGCTGTGATAGCTGATACAGCCTCTCGACTTCTTAGGCCACCTTCAAACAATTCTAATGCGTTATATTCAACATTAAGTATTTTAATGATTGTGTCTGAAAGCTTGTAAACAAAGTTCAAGCTCTTGCTGTAACTAATGTATTTCTTATCTCAGTACAATGAAGTGTTGGAGCCATTCCCTTGTAGGTGTCATTCAAACCAGGACCAGGTTAGCAATTCCTAAGGCGGTGACTTAACTGTCCTGTGTGAAAAGAGCTGGTATCTCTTTAGGCTTCCTATTGCACACTTGTGTTGTGGCAGAAGCCAGCCCAGCCTCCCTGGCTTCAGCAGAGGCCAGGAACCTCGTGGGGAGTGAGGAGCTCTCACCTCTGAGGGCAATCCCTCCAGAGCACAGCGTGTAGCTCGGGTGCTGTGTAAAAGGCTTGTAGCGTCTGGTGTGGGCAGAGCACTTTCATCTGGCCCCAATCAGCAGGGCTACATTAATTAAAAAAAGCCCTTTCATAACTATGTAAATTCTTGACTTCTGTCAACTTGTTTACAATCTGATCTTTAAATGCATTTTTAATTTCATCAAACAGCAATTAATCTACCCCCTGTTTAAATTTAAAATGATGCTTCTAGCCCCTTCTACAATTCAAAAACAGCAGTTACCCTTTCAAGTAGGCATTCCAGTTTGCAAGTCAGTTGCATGTATTAGCATGCTGAGTAACTTACTTTATTCTCAAGCTAAAATATGCTTAAATTCCCATTAAAACAGGTGACTTGTCTATTTCCTGAACATAAAGGGAGAATCCATCATCTTCACCCTGTTTTTGTGTGGGAGAACAGATTATACTGTATGCATGATTTTTTTTTCCCTATTAACAAAGCTTTCCTTGAAGAGATTCCATATGTGTAAGAGCTGCCTGTTGAACAAGAGGCATGTGAATGCTGAAACAATTTCATGCACTCCAAAGCTTTCCTGTCCATCTACTGCTCACTGCTGGTCTGTGTAACTGTCCAACATGGAGTTTGTACGTTTGCATTTTCCCATAAAATTGGTGTTTTTTCCCCAATGGGCATGTCTAAACTGCTTGAGAGCTGCATGCAGTTCTGTGATAAGAGAGATGTAATCAAGGTTTTATGCTAAAGTAGCAAATTAGCATTTCGTATCAAAGGAACACAGACATGAATAAATTGAAGATTCTTGAGCCAAACCCACTGATGCCTATCTCAATATAGAACAAAAAGTGGCTAAGTACAGGCAACGTTTTTTTTTTCACTCTTTGCTACTCCAGAGTACTAACTGAACACATCCAATGAATATTTTCAGAGGAAGGCTTTATCCCAAGTGAAAAATATTTAATCTGCCTCAGAACCTGTGCCACCAACTATCACATTTTGTTTCTGGAG